ATAATTCACTTGTGCCTCATTTAAAATTTTACTAGCGTAGTATATAACATGTAACAATTTATTCTTTCGTTGGCCAAGGACCGTACCTATAGCATAGGCACTAGCATCACACATGAGCTCAAAAGGTAAACTCCAATCAGGAGTTACTAGAATGGGAGCTGTAGTGAGATTTTCTTTTAACAGATTAAAAGCTTTAAGGCATGCATCATCAAATTGAAATTCAGAATCTTTTTCTAAGAGTTAGCTTAAAGGTTTAGCTATTTTAGAAAAATCTTTTATGAATCTTCTGTAAAACCCAGCATGTCCTAGAAAACTTCTAATACCAGTCACATTATTAGGAGGAGGTAGTTTCTCAATTAACATCAGTTTAGCTTCATCTACCTCAATCCCTTTTTCAGATATTTTATGTCCTAAGACAATTCCCTCTTGTACCATAAAATGACACTTTTCCCAGTTTAGTACAAGATTTGTTTCTTGGCATCTTTTAAGAACCTGAGTTAAGTTTAACAAACATAAATCAAAACAAGAGCCAAAAACAGAAAAGTCGTCCATAAATACCTCAAGGTTTTTCTCTACCATGTCAGAAAAGATGGAGAGCATGCACCTTTGAAATGTGGCAGGTGCATTACATAGACCGAATGGCATCCGTCTATAAGTAAAGACTCCAAAAGGGCAGGTGAAAGTTGTTTTCTCTTGGTCTTTTGGTGCCACTGGAATTTGGTTGTAACCAGAATATCCGTCCAAGAAACAGTAATAATTGTGACCCACCAATCTTTCCAACATTTGATCAACAAAAGGAAGTGGGAAGTGATCCTTCCTTGTAGCTGTATTTAGCCTCCGGTAGTCACACACATTCTCCAACCAGTAATGGTTCTAGTTGGAATCAGCTCATTTTTCTCATTATGAACTACGGTGATACCTCCCTTTTTCGGAACAGTCTTTACTGGGCTCACCCAAGCAGTATCCGAAATTGGATAAATCATACCAGCATCAAGAAGCTTCACAACTTATTTCCTTACAATCTCCTTCATTGTTGGATTGAGCCTCCTTTGCAGCTGCCTTACTGGTCGAACTTCATCCTCCATGAGGATTTTATGAGTACAAAATGAGGGATTAATACCCTTTAAATCAGAAATTGACCACCCTATGGCAGTCTTATGCTCTTTAAGCACTTCAACCAGTCTTGTCTCTTGCTCAGAAGACAATCCCTTGTTAATGATAATAGGGTAAGTCTCCTCTTCACCCAAGAAGATATATTTGAGAGTTTTCGGAAGCTCCTTCAACTCTACCTTTGGTGCACCATCTTCCTTGTCATAATCTTTCTTTTCAAGGACTTCAAACAACTCATTTTTTCTTCCTTATAAGGAACCATTTCATGTGCTTGAAGTTCTTCCTCAGATTGTTGACTGGAAAATACCTCTTCTTCCACTACTTGCTCTAGAATATCAAGACGAAAACAATCGCCTTTATCAGAAGATTGTTTCATAGAGTCAAAAACATTGATGGTGATGGTCTCATCATTCATTCTTAACTCTAACCTGCCATTCTCAACATCAATAATGGCTCGAGCAGTAGCCAAGAAAGGTCTTCCCAATAATATGGGCATTTCAGTACCCTATTCCTTGTCTAATACCACAAAATCAGCTGGGAAGATGAACTTATCCACCTTAACAAGCACATCTTCAATAATACCACTTGGTCTCCTCAAAGATCTATCAGCAAGTTGTAGAGAAACCATAGTGGGTTTTAACTCAGTAATTCCCAGAGATTTACAAATAGATAATGGCATCAGATTAATACTTGCCCCAAGATCACATAGTGCTCTGCCAACATCAGTGTTACCAATAGCAATTTGAATATTGAAGCTTCCTGGATCACTGAGTTTGGGAGGAAACTTCTTTTGTATGATGGCATTACACTCTTCAGTGAGTGTTACTGTTTGGCATTCCTGCAACTTATGTTTTCTTGACAACAAGTCCTTCATGAACTTGGCATAGTTTGGCATGTTAGCCAAAGCTTCAGCAAAAGGTATGTTCACATGTAACTTCTTGAAGATATCCAGAAATCTTGAATATTGTTGTTTCTGAGCATCTTTCTTGAACCTTTCTAGGTAAGGTTCCATAGCTCGCACGTATTCAGGATTCAGCTCGAATTTATTCTTCTCAGCAGCAATAATTTGTGGCTCCTCTTCTTCACCTTTTTGAACAGGTTTCTCAACTTCAGAAGGATTTACCACTTCTTCTTCGGGCTCCTTGAATTTTTCTTCAGCTTCCACATTTGTGATTGGCTTTGTTGGAGCTGCCACCACTTTACCACTTCTAGTAGTTATAGCCATACAATCATCCTTCGGATTAGTAACTGTATTGCTAGGGAAGGTTCCTGGAGCTCTTTCAGCCATCTGTTTAGCTATCTGGCCAATTTGGTTCTCCAAATTTCTGATGGAGGCTTGTGTATTTCTGGTATTTGCCCGAGTCTCTTCCATGAAAGCATTAGAATGTTGGGCCATTTGTCCCACTACCTTCTCTAAATCAGAAGGTTCCTTCGGTTGAACTGGTGGTGGTTGCAGATAATTATTGGACTTGAAGTCAAGACCAGTACCCTGCACCCTCCTCTGGAAGTTATTGTTTCCAGAAGGAAAATTCAGATTTCTTGGAACATTTTGTGGTGGGGGCCTCTGATCATACCACACGCCATTTACATGCACCTGTTGAGGAGGATCATCATATAGCAAGGTAGGACATTCATTAGATTCATGACCTTCCTTGCAATATTCACAAATAACTGAAGCAGCTTGAGCTTGGACGCTAGAGAGCTACATTTTATCAAGCCTTGATGTCAAATTCGCCATCTGCTGTGATAACAATTTATTTTCAACCAATGTTGCATCATTGTTGTTTAGGTGAAGAATGCCTCTCTTAGGCTTAGATGACAACCCTTCATTTTCATTGGCAGCCATTCTTTCAATCAATTCAAGAGTCTCATTTGCTCTCATTGACTTAATGCTACCACCTGTTGCACCATTCAGAACCATCCGGATTTCTGATTTACAACTGTTGAAGAAGATCCGGACCTGATCACCATTGGTCATGGGGTAATGAGGACATTTCTTCATTAGATCTTTGAACCGGTTCCAGGCTGCACATATAGTTTCACCCTCAGCTTGAGTGAAATTGGTGATATCATTCACCATTTGATTGTATCTTTCCATCGAGAAGAACTCCACAAAGAACTTGTTTGATAAATTCTCCCATGAGGGAATACTTCTCGCAGGCTGCCTCTCCAACCAATTCAAAGCTTTTCCTTTAAGAGCAAAAGGAAACAGTCTCAGCCGGACTGCATCATTGGACACTTGAGGATGTTTAGTCGAGTCACAGATCATCAGGAATCTGTTTATGAACCTATGAGGGTCTTCATCATCCTCTCCACCAAAATGAGCTCTCTTCACCAGTCGAATATTATCAGACTTGAGATCCCAATTATTGTTGCCAACTTCAGGATGGACAATACTTGAATTGGGCCTGTTAAATAGTGGCGTCAGAATGGTGTCCATGAGTGGATTGTCCGCTTCATTATTCCCTACCATCTAGGGGTGGCAATTTGGGTTGACCTGCCCCGACCCGCCCCGCCCCGCCACCAACCCGCCAAAAACGGGGCGGGGCGGGTTGACCCGCCAAAAAATATGGGTTGTAAAAATGAACCCACCCCGTTTTATGGTGGGTTGGCGGGTCAACCCACCAACCCGCCAATTAAAAAAAAATTAATTAAAATTCAAAATAAATTATATTTTATGAATTTTTTTAATATTATTTTATTTTATTTCACACTTCTCTATATTTTTTTAGTCTCAATCTTAAATGTATACTAATATTTGTCAAACATTCTTTAGGAATTTATAAATAGATAACATTTGTCATAAATAAAATTGTTATTCTTTATTTTTTCTAGAAAGTACTAAGATAAAAAAAATTGAATATCACAAAAATTTAAGTACTAATGAAATACTACCTAATTGTAAAAAAATAAAAAAAATAATAAAAAAATTTAAAACCCAGCGGGTCAACCCGCCCCGCGGCGGGTTGAACCCGTTTTGACCCACTTCTAGGCGGGGCGGGTTGAGGTGGGTTGGTGGGTTGAAAATCTCAACCCAACCCGCCCCGTTATGGCGGGTTGGCGGGTTGACCCGCCGGGCTCAACCCATATTGCCACCCCTACTGCCATCTTGTGTGCTTTTTCAGACAGAATTCCCAACTCGTTGAATGCAAGCTTCTTCCGAGCAAGTTTCCTGTTTCTCTTTTCTGTTTTTGTAATCTCCAAGTCAAGTGGAAATTTCGGCTCTTTACCTCGCATACAACTCAGAAAAGGGATTAGTAGCACTGTTCAAGAATCACAGAGAAATCAAAAATAAAAATAAAATAAAAATCCAATCTTAAAAATCAAAATTAATTGATAAAAGATACGCAATCCCCGGCAACGGCGCCAAAAACTTGATGCTTCCCGGCAAGTATACCGATCGCACAAGTAATATAATGATAAGAAAGTTCGTCTCCATAGGGATTGTGATCGTATATCAATTAATATTCCTTCCAAGAATGAAAGAGTTCAAATAGTTTGTGACAATTGTTGTGGATTTGAGAATAATGAGAATTAAAATAAAACGTATTTTTAGATTTTTGCTTTTAAGAAAGAAACAGATATGGATTTTTGTAATTGAGAGAAAGAATTGTAGCTATAGTGCACTCACCATATGATCCCCACTTCTTACCTTGGATTGATAAGAATTTACTTATTTATATAAATACTCAGATAATTATCATCTAGAATTAATTAGTTAAATCACAATCCCTTGGCAATTTAACCATTTAATCTCAATTAGAATCCTAATCCCTTAGTAACCCCTCATGAAAATTAAGCAATGAACACGATAATTAAAGCATCTGCAATTAATTATACATCTATTCCTAGCATGCATAATAATTGTTATCTTACCCCCTTTCAAGATCAAAAACCCAATATTCCTATCTAGGGTTCTAACCCTCAAGCTATCATCCACTATAAGATTGATCAAGTCTAATAAAGAAAATAGAATTTACGCACAGGGAAAAGATAAAGAAATTTATATAAACGAGTAAAAATAACCAATCCGTCGTAACAAGGGTTCACATAAGGATTGTGACCCTAACTACAATAAGGAAAACTTAGCCAACCATAGTCATGGCTGATAAATCAATATTCAATGTTACTTGGAATGAAAGAATGTAGATGGAAGAATAAAGATGGTCAAGAATTTCTCTTTGGAGCTCTCTTTCTGAAGCACGACGATCTCCTTAGGTTCAGAATACCTAATTCTGTGTTGAGCCTCCTTTTTATAATCTTCTTTTTCATCTTCCAAAATTACCCTTGTAGACAAAACACGGCTGAAGTTTCGCAATTTGGCGCTCTCAGCGTCAGATCCACACCAAGAGTGTGGCTGCCTCTGAATCTTCATGCCATCAGCGTGACATCCACGCTATGAGCGTGGGAGAAAGAATGGTTTCACGCCATCAGCGTGAACTCCACGCTATGAGCGTGGGAGTCCCTGGTTCTTCACGCCATCAGCATGACATCCAGGCTATGAGCGTGGATCTTCATTTTGGCAAGTCTCCATTTGGCTCCAGTTTTGTCTGCTTTTCCTACAAAATCAGCATAAAATCAGTTGAACAATCCTGGATTTGGAATTTTAGCAAAGCAACAATAAATGTTGCCTTTTTACTCAGGATTAGCCAATAATCTTCTTCTTTTTGGCTTGAATTTACCCATATGCTGAAGGCATATCATCACACCTAACAAATATATACCAAGTCAGAATTTTATTTTATGTTATCCTATACATCACATGCAAATTTCCATTCTTCCAAATTCTCGGATTTTTTCAGGTTTCAATGCTTCAATTACTAATTAATTTTTCTGACTCAGATTTAGTTTTACCAATTGTTTCCAAGAGACAAAACCAAGGGTTTCCTATGCATGTAGGTTCGGTTTTTTTACCCATCAACTAGGTGCTTATAATTTTCATTTACATAACCTTCTCTACAAAGCTTAGGAGTGAGAGCTCAAAATCGGCCTTGGGCTTGCCTGCACCAAGAGGTTTATGTTGTTCTCCAACTAGGCAGAAACGAGGAAAAGGAGAATGACAAGCGTATGTCCTCCTTGAATGTATATAAGGCCAAAATAGTGAGGGAAAAGGAGAGCATGGTTTCCTATTTTATACCTCTTGTATGAACCCAAAATGCTCCCAAATTGGTGAAGGGGATAGCCACCAAAGGATAAGCAACACTCTCACCCTCCTACTCTCCACGACTCAAGTTTTCAGCTGCATGCAAAGGGGAAAAACTCCTTTAAAAAAACGAAAGGAGCATGAGGGAATAGGGAAGTAGAGAAAACACAATACCTCCTTGAATGTTGATGCTCGGCCGAACAAGAGAAAGAGAAGGAAAAGTATGCTTAGGTGTTTCGATTCTTTTCCTAAGGAGCTTGCGGCTAAGTGAAGAAGATGATAGGCAAGGTACGCAAGCTTAGGTTTTCTTGTGTTCCTCTATGATGCTTGCGGCTGGTGGAAGGGTGGAGGATGAAAGGAATGCAAGCTTGGGTGATAGGTTGTTCACTTGGTAGCTTGCGGCTTTGAAGAGGGAATGAGAGTGATGAGGCTGAGTTTGATTCTGATTAATGGTGATAAGTATTCAGCTTTGTTTTTCTCCTCACTAAGCGCACATTGAAAGGATAAGGGCGGTAAAAGAGTTGCTCTTGACCAATAATGAAACATGCATTCAGATTACTTTCCTCTCATAGGGCGCATGTGAGGGAGATAAGGCTGACCTGATGTTGGTCACAATTACAAGTAATCAAAAAAAAAATTCTCCCTTCACTAGGTGCATGATGATGGAGAGATAAGGTTGAATAGATGTTTTGCTTCTTATCCCATAAGGAGTAGCCATAGATTAAGAGTAGGAACGGTGTGAGCTGACTAAAGTCCTCAATTGAGTGACTTGGGCCGTCGCCCATGGAAGGAAATTTGGGTCAAAAGTTAACTTCCTAATGGGTCTATTACCTCATGTAATCCACTAAGTAGTACTTAGGATTTTTGCATGTATTAATAAAAAATTAATCTTGTCCTAATTATACATGTAATTCGAATTCAAGACATGCATCCACATTCCTAATTGTCATTTAAATAACTTCCTAATTATGCGGGATGTTACACTCTCCCCACCAAAATAGAATTTTGTCCGCAAAATTAGAATCACGTACTCAATTAAAGAGTTCCGGGTAGCGATTCCGAATATCGTCTTCACGCTCCCAAGTGGCTTCATATGCAGATTTATTGTTCCATAGCACTTTCACCAACGGTATCTCCTTGGAATGAAGTTGCTTGATTGACCTCTCGAGAATTTGGAATGGTTGAACAGGGTACGTCATATTTTTCTCTAATTCTACTTCTTCTAGCTTTAGTACTTGGGATGGATCAGAGATATATCTTCTCAACTGAGACACATGGAAGACGTTATGAATTCCCGACAAATTAGGCGGTAACGCCAATCGATAAGCTGATTCTCCAATCCTGTCCAAGATAAGGTATGGTCCCAAGTACCGCAGACTCAACTTCTTCGTTCCCATTCTCCTGCCGAGTCCAGATGTGGGTGTGATTCTCAGAAACACGTGGTCTCCCACTTCAAAAGATAGGGGTTTATGACGATTGTCATAGTAACTTTTCTGCCTCGCCTGGGCTTTTTGCATATTTTCCTTGATCCTCTGTACCTGCTCTGAAGTTTCTTGAATCATGTCGGACCCTAAAATACTTCGCTCACCAACTTCTACCCAACATAAAGGAGATCTGCATTTCCTCCCGTACAAAGCTTCATACGGTGCCATTCTGATGCTGGAATGAAAACTATTATTGTAGGCAAACTCCACCAAAGGAAGATACTTGTCCCAACTGCCTCCTTGTTCTAAAATACATGCTCGCAACATATCCTCCAGAACCTGAATAGTGCGTTCAGTCTGACCATCAGTTTGCGGATGATAAGCGGTACTTAACCTCAAATGGGTTCCGAGAGCCCGTTGAAAAGACTCCCACAACTTAGAGGTGAACTTGGGTTCACGGTCACTAATGATACTGGTGGGAACTCCATGCAACTTCACAATCTCTCGATGATAAATCTGGGCAAGCCTTTCTGTGTTATACGTTGTTTAGACACTCAAGAAATGGGCTGATTTTGTAAGCCGATCAACAATTACCCATATGGCATCAAATCCTTCTCGCGTCCAAGGAAGTCCCACTACAAAGTCCATGGCAATACCATCCCATTTCCACTTGGGAATTTCTAGAGGTTGAAGAAGTCCCGACGGTTTCTGATGTTCGTACTTCACTTTCTGACAGGTTAAGCATCGAGCTACATATTCGGCAATATCACATTTCATACTCGGCCACCAAAATGAAGTCTTTAAATCATGATACATTTTAGTGGATCCAGGATGAACGGTATAGTTACTCTTATGAGCTTCTTGCAAAACTTCTTGAAACCGACCTTGAAACCTCAGCATTTTATT